TAACTCTAAAAATATTCACAAGTAAGAATTATTTTTTTAGTATTTTCTCTAGAAAATAATATAAATATAAGGTTTAAAAAGTTTCATAGAAATAAATTTATATTTTGAGTTATCAGACTCACCATGATTGATTTTGAACAATTTAAAATCCCACTTCCGGTAGATTAAAGACCCGGTTTTTCTAATTTTATGTATTTTTTTATTTTATTCCAGCCTCTTTGTATCGTTGAAAAAATAATATTTTTTGGAAAGTCAAAAAACAATATTTTCGTAAAGTCAAAAGATTTCTCTATTCAATAAAACAAAAATCAAAAGTTTTTTTTATCGATATTGGTAATTTCAACGTGTTCAGATACTATGTTTTTTTATGGAAAAGTAAGCATTTAAATCAGGGGTACTCAACCTCAGTGGCGCACACAGGAATTTTTCAAGGAGGGGGGAGGTCAGGGGTCGAAAGTTCACCATTGTTGTAGCATGCTCCTTTTGATTTTGTCGATTTTTGGGAACAAAACACAGTAAAAAACTAATTATTGAATAAATAATTAGCATTAATTCATAAAATTAATCATTAATAACAAATACTTAATTAAATTTTACGTACTATGTACTTAGGATTATAATTAATCGGAAAAAAAATCAAGGGTTTTGGGGGGTTTGGACCCTCCACCCTTGTGTGCGCCACTGCTCAACCTTTTTTTCTGCAAGGCCGCATACATATGTTAGTTATTTTCGGCGCACGGTATACATATGATGGCTATTTCACGCGGGCCACAACATGAGAACTAATGGAGGGGGGAGAGAAATGCTTTGAGACCAAGATAACATAGAAAATTTAAAATGTGGAAATTGATTAAAATATTAAAACTTCCAATTTGCTTTTTTAATTATTTTTTTTTATTTTTGTCACTAAATTTTTCTAAATTGGAAGCTTTTAAGAATCACTATTTCACAATTTCTGCACCAATAAACGGTTTCATTTGATTAACAATAATAAAACAAATTTCATAGGGTGCCTTTGTTACCACTGGTGACATTACCACTGACAAGTCACTTTTTTGCTGTTATAAAGGTTATTCAAGAAAGCCTATTTATCACCTCTTGAAAGAGATCTTCGAGGAAAAGTGTCATTGAATATGTGTGTGATTCCTGTTTATTGGTATTTTTTAAATACAACACTTTCGTGACAAATCAAACAATTATGGAACCAGGCTTGTTTTTCACTACAGACTAATCAATCTCCCAATCGTCTTGAAACAATCTTTATTTCGAATATTATATAAGTATAAAAGATAGTAAAAAATTAGTTCCACTCATAGAATGGTCACTACTCCACTGTTGTCTATTATCACTAATCAGAAGGGGGAAAATATCAATTCGCACCCATACGACATCGACAGAAAAATTATAATTGATCTATTTAATTTTTAACAAAGAATTTCCCACCAAATTTTCATAAATAAATTAATTTCTCAGAGCAATGGGCCATGAAAAGGCCCGGTAGGCCGCATGTGGCGCTTTCAAAGCAGTGAATAGCTATGTTGGAAAAAAAATGCCAGCCTTTTAAAAAAAGAGAAAGAAATGTGTATTAACTGTAACTTTTGATAAAAAATGACATACAAATAAGTGTAAAACATTAAAAATATAATATATAATTAATGTTACATCATATATAATCATTAAATTCCTTTCCCTCCGTTCAACATACTCCTAGAATACTCTTCTATCAGACCCATGAAAATTTAAATCAACAATATCTTCAACAAAAATGGCAAATTTTAATATCCAATGCTTATAAATTTGCAAAAAAAAAATCATTTTAAATAATAAGAATGTTTTTTAAAACTATAGAACGGAATTTTTTAAAAAAAAACTTAAATAAAAATACTGTTTGAATTCTATAAACTTCATTATAATTCAACATTTGACAAGAAATTCGGAAACGGATTTCTTACTATAATAGCCTCCCTTTTATTAGAAATCACCATTTTCATTAATTTCAAAGAAAATTGCAAATATTTTAATCTTATCTTAATAATGAAAAATTGTAAATATTTCCGAGTAAATATAATCAGTGGTGCACACAAGAGGGGGTGTCCTAGGAGTCCGGACACCCCCATAGCCTTTGATTTTTTTTCAATTGGTTATAATCCTATGTATATATTACGTAAAATTTAATTATGTATTTGTTATTAATAATTAATTTTATTAATTAATGCAAATTATTTATTCAATAATTAATTTTGTATTGTTTTTTTCCCAAAAACCGACAAAATCAAAAGAATATGTTGGGAGGCGTATTGGAGTATGATACCAAAATGGTGGACTTTCGACCCTGGACCTCCCCCCCGAAAGTTTTTTGTGTGCGCTACTGAATATAATCATATTATAATGAATAATTGTAAATATTTCAGAGTAAATATCACATTATTGATAATAATTTTAATGTGTGTGTAACATCTTTTCTTGTCTATTTAATTACTTCAATAAAATTATTAAACAAGATTATACACACACATAACTTATATATAACCGGATTTTAAATATTTAGTGCAAATACTGTAAATTAGAGAAGACATTTTTTTTTAAAATTTAAAAACTTACCTTTGCGAAAAAGGTGTTTTCTAGTACATTATATGATGAGAAAAATGAAATAAAAAATTATTCTTTATGTTAACTGTCGTCACAAGGGGAATGAAGTTTAGATTTCTGAGCTTTTTCTGGTAAAAAATCAGAGCTTTTTTCTGGTAAAAAATCAAAATAATTTGTTAAGACACAAAGGCATTTTAGAATCTAACAATCATTGCGATGAAAGGGCACCTACTAAATCAGTGGTTCTCAAACTTTCACTACTGTCGACCCAATTTTCAATCATAATTTTTATCTCGCCCCCTAAAAATAATAATGTATTGAATGCAATAATAATGCACTTTGGGCGCTAAAGCTACAATACGATCATAATTATAAACCGTACAAATTAACAAGATAACTATTAAATTTTGTATGTGTTACTTTTAAGTAATATATATTTTTATTTTTTTACTTTTTAGTTCGATTCCCTATAATAGCGTGTTTCTTAGTTTATTTTAAAACTATAATTTATTTTATAATTATTTTTACTGTACACGATAGAAATCACAATTCCAGTGAATAATTTAATTAAGAGAAAATGTACTTACCTACTTTCAAGGACTTTTCAATTTTTCTTTGAAAATTTGAGAAAAAATCCAATAAAACTAAAGAAAATGTTCCAAATGAACGTGTCCTTAATTAATAAAGGACATAAATCACATACACTTTTCGCTAACAACAGATGAACGTTATTTTCCAGCAAAACTGTCATATTTTGTTCACGTTTTTGTATTTTGCTGTCGTTTGATGATCTACAAATAGCATTTTGAACTTTTTCTTCCTTGTGTCTTTTTGACAAGGCGAAGTGCTACATTATGGCTTCATAATTTTCTTCACAGATATTTTTAGGAAGCATTTGAAAATTTCAAATCAACTCAAACGTTTCATGTCTAACGCTTTTCTGATATTTACTTTCGTGATCTTGATTAATATGCATTATTTCAGTAGGTTCTTCAATTGCTTGATCAATTTCAACTTTATTCAATAGGGATCACAGATGCCTATTTGCTCAATTACATTTATAACCCATAATGAGTCGTACAAAACAGCAATCAAAACCACAAAATTGTTCATGGGGAAAGTGTAGCATGTTCTAAACAATAATTGTGTAAAACGTTTTTCATTATGCCTTATATGTTTCAGAATACTCATAAAATACATCTTGGCCAAATAATTCTCCAAAATGCTCAATATGCTTATCCATATATCATTAAAATCTTTCACATGGAAAAAGATGAAACAGAAAAATATATTATGTATATTTACAACTTCCCTAAAAAAAAAGATGGAGATAACCATACCAGTAAGTTCGAAGGTCAGCTAAAGTAATATTTTAGGTTAAAAGAAACGTAGTAAAAAATCTCTCATCGTGGGATTACAGCAAAGCAAACAAAATATTTTTTTAATTTAGTTATAGGATGAAAGATGGTTAATGAGCGTTTGAAATGGAATCTTTTATTTTTCATGATCACCAGATGATAAAAATAAATTATATCAGTGTAAATGTGTATTTTTTATTATGTCAGAAAGCATTTTGTTTTACTTCATTCCAAAAAATTACTTTTTTGAGCCTTTTATTTTCAATATGCTCGCACCCCCCCCCCCGCAGGGTTACCGCGCCCTCCAGGGGGATGGATAAATCCACTTCTAAGATATATATTTCAAAAATTCTAGTTCAGCCTCTATAGAGAAGTCTGAGCTATACACAGGCAAAATATTATAATAGAAACATTTTTCAAAAAAGACTGTTTTGAAAATTAGTCATTCTATGTTCATTTTTTGACAAAATATTTTACTTAAATAATTTTTTGTTATGATATCCTTAAAACAGTTTTGTATACAATTTCTAATCTAAGTGACACTAAATATCAAAAAAAATTTCCATTTATACGCTTTTGCAAAATCACGGTTCAAAACGTGGTTGGATACCTTAAAGTTATTCATATCGTGGGAAAAAAATTATCTTGAGTCTAAAATAATCTAACCAAATTTAAGACTTTTCCCACTTTTTTTTTTCAAAAATTCAAACCTTTTGTGGCAATATTAAATTTTGAAATTATTTTCTTTCTGATCTCCATACCATAGAACAGCAATTCTTAAACTTTCGCTCACAGTAGTCCCCGTCTTTGAGTTCCTACTATTAGCTTACTCTCTCCCTATATATATCTTGTTCCAATATTCAATCGTTAATAAAATAATTTCTATTCATCCAATCAAGTTCAAATATACTTTTTTAAACCCATTGTGGATGACACATGATGTTAATAGTTTTATTAAATATTAATTCATTCATTCAATTAAAAAATGTATAAATAGTAACAAACAAAAATAATAGTCCAATAGCATATATAGAAATGAAAACCATTCGTTGTGTCCCTATGGTGCAAGGGATACCGCGTTGAACTTCTAATCCAACGGTCGTGGGTTCAAATCCCACCTGGGATGGCCTAATTTCGGAGAATGTGATTTCTTTTTTACTATACAATTTTATTAGAATAAATTAATTTATAAAAAACGGATAAATAGTATTAAACAAAATAATCCATCACTATATATAAAAAGGAAAATTGCAAGGCAAATCACTTTCTATTTTGTCAGTATTGTGATTCTAACATATATTATATATATGTTTATATTAATTATAACTATTTAATAAAAAGTAACTAGAACAAAATTATTCTTTGCTGTCCTAAGTAGGAATTGACTTAATTTCCTTTTTATATTACTTGTGTTACTTTTACGTTTAGAAGAAATTTTCAACCAATCATTTGCTTTTGTAACTGCTGTCTTCGTCGTGTAGGGCAGCGATACACGTTAAATCTGTCGAGAGCTGAAACGTCCTTTCATTGGTGTGGTGTGGTAGTTAGGAGAGGGGGTGCCAGCTCAGGTGTCGTCCACATCACTTGACCATGGTTCAAAATTACGAGGTCCGTCGCCAAAAGTCCTCGTGTAGATAAAACAGTGCGACGTTAATATTCAATCAATGTAACTGCTGTCTTCTTGAAGTTTCATAATGAGGTGTTATTATATCCAGGTAGGATTTCATTTTCTGATAAACCTCATCTTGAAATAGCGATTCATCTTTTAACGTACTTTAGAAACCCCATAAAACAAATTTTAAATTCACGAACAATATATGTTATTAAAAAAAAAAGTACTCATATATTCTCACACATTTTTTAAAATTAATTTCTTTTTATTTTACTTTCTTACCCATCAAAAAGAAAGCTAAAGGGAAAACAAGAAAAGAAAAATATTGTCCAAAATATACTATATTTTCATCTCTAAAAATAATTTTTCATTAAATTTAATGAACATTTTAATGAGATTTTCTAATTGTTAAAATATGTTATTTTCGAAACAAGAATTTTAATCTTAGAAAAAATCGCATGCTTCCAAAAATTTAATTACTGATAAAATCTATTAATTTTGAGCTTTTTGTTTATAAAATTATGGTAATTTTATTGCTCTATATAAATCTGACACCTGGTAAAATCAGATTAAGGCCATCGATCACAATACAATGTACTAAAAAAGAGAATAATTTGAAAAATGTCCTGACATATTTTAAAAATAAGGAGAAAAAAAATCGGATCACAAAAGTGAGTGAGTTAATATCAACGTCGCACTGTTCAGCTTCACAAGGGCTTTTGACGACGGACCACGTCACTTGAACATTTTGAACTATGGTCAAGTGACGTGGACGAAGCCTGAGCTGACGGCCCCTCTTCTAACTACCACACCACACAAACGGGAGGACATTTCAGCTCTAGACAGATTTAACGTGCATCGCTGCTCTACACGGCGGGTCTTTGGTGGTACTGGGCTCGAACTCGTAATATGCCTGCCATGATCCGATACCTTTACCACTGGGCTACCGCAGCTCCCCGGATCACAAGGGAAAAGGTTCGTTAAATAGAAAATACACTTTGCTATTGGAAAGTTATTTTAAGAAGAAAACAGTAAGATGTTCTTGGTTCAAAGAAAAAATTCGTACAATAGAGGTTCGTTTTATGGAGGTCTGACGACATTTTAAATAAATTATAAGTTTAAAAAAACACGCTTTTATGTTTAATCGAACTAAAAAGTAATTCTTAATATGAGAATAAAATGATTAACGAGAAAACTAATGTCATTGGGGTAAAAGCGTGGGGTCTCTATATTAATTGTTATAATTTCTTACTAGCTCTATTCCGAAATGCTAACTTAAGAGTAAAAATGTAACACAAAGCACCCCACGCTTATACCACAATGACATTAATTTTCTCGTTAATCATTTTATTCTTTTATTAAGAATTTTTTTTTACTTTTTAGTTCGATTCACTATAAATGCACTAAAATTACTTTTTAGTGCTTTTTAGTTTTTTTATAAACTACGATTTATTTTTCATTTTTTAGTTTAATCTACAATAAAAGCCTGTTTTTTCAGTTTTTAAAACTATCCTTTATTCTTTGTTGAATTTATCCTTGAGTTTGATATTTGTAACCCGACCTACGGGGCTACTGGAATTAGTCTTGCTCTTCAATGAATATTAATTAATGGGTCTGAAGGGTACTTATTCTCTCTGTTTACAGGGTCTCGGATGAGTCCCATATCGTTGTATTTTAAAGATTCGCTCTCTATAGATACAGGTCTAACTAATAAAAGTGTGTAAGAAGAAATATTAAATGTCAATCGCATTATTACCTTTTAAAGGTATTGCTATAATGTTAATTCGTATCACCATTTCTAAACGTATTGCTTTATAAAAATAAAAAATATTTAGCAGTTAGAACATAATTTTTTTTTCACATGCACGAGTCTTTTTTTTTCCATTTTCAGAAAAACTAGACTTGTATTATGGTAAGAAATTGCTAACGCACCCACCCTACCCTTTCTCATATAAAGAACTTTTTTTTGTTTTATGTGTATTAACCACATGGCTATTCATGGTTTAGAGTTGCACCTTAATCTTTTAGTCGCCAAATCTAGAAATGGCATATGGAATTAGTCACGAAATGTGAAAAGGGTTTATGCAATAAGTCGCATAAATCTGGAAGTGGTATACGGAATTAGTCGCCGAATCTATAAATCGTATTTCTAATTATCCTGATAAGGACAATAGAATAAAATTATGAAATTATTGTGTTGTCATTGGCCTTGAGGAGTGTGCAAAATTTCAAACATTTTTAAAACAATTATTTTATATATTTTATATCGCGGTGTCGAAATGACACTGGTAGACATTTAAAGGTATCGAAATCCCGGACGTTCTAGTGTTAAAATAAAAGTTTAAATCCATTTATTAATTTAATATTTAATTGGCTTTCATCAGTCCGAGAAATTTTGAAATGAAATTGTTGCCAAAGACAAATTACGATTAAGGCAAACTGAGTGTCTCTCGTTGGAGAAACATTTATATATAAATGATATGTGTGGTGGAAAAGGAAGGAAATATATGAAAGAATCGAATACGCTCGATAAAAATGGGATGGTCCGTAACTTCTATCTCTCTTTGTTATATTTTTGATTTAGTGAATTATTTTAGACCAAAACTTTTGTTACATTAACTCTCAAATGCATAAATATTTTTGAAAAATAAATCAAACAACTTCCATACATTAGAAAAGAAGCATGAACCACCCTTTACTTGAATAAATTGTACATTTTAATAAGACTTAAAAGTGCCGAATTTGAACCCCATTTAGGAAAAACACTTCAAATCTTTTTAAAAGTTAATTTTTCTTTTTGAGAAATTATCTTAAGATTGACAGAATCATTATAAACGAAAGAAATTACAAAAACATTTAGGCGGTATATATTTATTATATACCTCAAATACAAACAGAAAAACTATATAATTACTATATATATAGAAAAAATAAATATATACAAAAATAATACAAATAATAAAACAAAAATATATACAAAAAACATAACACAAAATTTACAAAGCAAACAAAAATATAAAACAAAAATACACATAAAATACACATAAATTAAAAAAAATACACATAAAATAAAATACACATAAAATACAAAAATACACATAAAGTACACATAAAATACAAAAATAAGCAAAAACAAAAAGTTAGATTTTTTTTTAAAACACAAAAATACAAATAACAAATTAAAACAAAAAGAAAAACATTTAAAAAATTACAAAAAAAAATAACAAAAATAAATAAAATAAAAACACAAAATTATTAAACAAAAACACATAAAATACACAGAAGACTTTTCCCCCTTTTTTCTCTTTTCTTTTTTAAATGAAGCTAGAACCCCACTCGTGCAATTCCTACAGTCTTATTTCAATGAACTTTGCAAGTCGAATATCAGTTCTTGAATTTTTACTATTGCTGGCGACGTTTCACTATTCTTCATATCTTCTTCCGAACTAGCTGAAATTTTGGCTGCAAAAATGCTTTTCTCGGCTGGATTTTCTAATTTTACTGTTAACGTGCCGAAGTTTGGAGGAGCTGCGCCATTTTTGCCGTCCGATTTCAACGAATTTTGTAAGTCGGATATAAGTTCCTGAATTTTTTCTAAAGCTGGCGACGTAATTTTTTCTGGATCAATTTCCTTTACAGTTAAATTTTGATTTTGATCCATTTTGACTTCTTTGTTGTTTTCTGATTTCTTTTTTCTGGCTTGGAAGTGCTCTCCAGTCTGTGTTTGGATATTGGATTTTGAATCTTCGAAGAGACTGTCCAGGATTAGTAAAATAGGTGGTAGAAATAAGGCATCCCAATACGTCACAAATAAAATTCTGATGGTAAAATAGAGCCAAACGAGCAGAATGGTTTTTGCCAATATTTTGGGATCCATTTTTATAACAGGGGGGATTGATTATGCAAACGAGAGATCGAAATTGGGTACACAATGATGCAAAAATAAGAGCAATTATTTTCGATGCGCAATTATTCAATGTAAATTACATTCTGATCGCTAAATATTGTTGCACGGAAAACAATGCCTAAGTTTTAACAATATATAATGATATAACAATGTTATTCTTCAGTTACAAGACAATTTAGGAAACATTGTTGAGGAGCTTTTATTATTGTGATTCGAACAAAGTAAGAGTTTAAACAATGTTGGGTTCCCAAGTGTCTTGTAAAGTGTAATCATGAGAGAAAAGATTATTTATTTTCCTTCCAGCATGCACTGACCAACTTACAGATGGAGTCAAAAACATAAACTATAGACATATATATTACATTGATTAATATGTGAATTTAACGTTGTATTGTTAGATAGTATATACATTCATATATAATCAAAACAATATACAATTACACGTACCGTAAAATCCGGCGTATAACGCACACTTTTAACACAAAAAATAAGATATGAAATTAACGGGCGTTCGTTATACGCCGGGTATAAAAATGACAGGTTTAAATATCAAAGGAAACGATCAGCATAAAAAATATTAGACTTTTACATAGATCGAAATGCTGTT